TCTAACTGCAGGCAGCATAGGGAATCTAGTCCCATGATGCTGGGAAAGGTTGGGACAGAGATGTCCCATCTGCCCAAAAGAGGCCTGCAGAGAGTTCAGACCAGCACTCCCACTGCTGATGAGCCACTCAATGTTTGATCACCTGGGAACTATCACAGAGCACGACAGCTACAGACCGACATTGACATAGCGCTTGCTTTGTGAGAGAGTCTAAGCTCTCTCCAGGTTCTGGGGTAACGAATGAGAAGAGGTAGGAGGGAACATCTGTGGAATATCTGTGGAACCCTTCCCCATCTCCTCCGAGATGTTCCCACTCCCCAGCAACTCGGCATTTCTGAACTTGGCATCTCTAAAGTATTTCCTGATATCACCACCAGATCTTCAGTTGGCACTGAGGTCGCCTCACTGTTCTCTGGATCATCAGGAGCCTCCCTAAGATAAGCTGCCACTTTTCATGTCCTCTGGCTGCAGTAGAACATAAAGGTCCTCAGTCCACAGGAAAGGATCACTAAGGACCCCCAGGCTGGAGGGTAAACCATCTTTTGAGTCCTTTCATTATTGCTAAACAACAACAAAAATTCATGAGGAGTCTGCACTTTTCATTTCTTTGTATCTCCAGCCACTAACAATGACCAGCACACAGCAGGAACTCAACAGATAGATGTCCATTCAGGAAATGGATGAATGATGGAATCATCCTACTCAGACTTCCCTTCAAATGTATGAAGATTCCATATGTAGTTGATGAACAGCTGATAGATATTTTCAATGAAAACACCACAGAAATAATCCAGTAAATGTCAACTGAATAGATAGACTGTGAAAAAGAAATATGTTGCCATGGTGGAATCAATCCTTTGTCCTCCTTCTGAGAACAATGTGAGGGCAGCTGTTACTGATCCTGAAAGATAGTTGTTCACAATCCTTTTTGAGTCAAAGATCTCATAGCAGGTCAGAATTTCAGAGACACACCCAATGGGGTCACCTCAAGATGATGGGAGAAGAAACAAAGTCTTAGCTGCCCCCAGCACCATCAAACCTCTGTGGTCCCCAGAGTAACCTCCACTCTACCCTGAGTCTAGCTTCTGGAGCCTGAGCCCCAGCTGCCACCTTTACACCCAAGGGAAAGACCCCAGGTGACAAAATGCAAAGGGGAGGTGAACCAATATGGAGCTGCAGGTTTTCCTGCTAAATCTGTTCCTCTACAATGAAGGAGGAAAATTGCCCAAAGGGAAATTCATGTAGCTGGGCAGTGCCCTATCACATAAGAAGATGGAGATACTACAGACGCCAACTGAGGTGAACACTTTTTAAATGACCTGTGATAAATGGATAGTTTTTAATGAGCTATTATTTTACCAAGATTTTAAAACACAAATGCTAATTTCCTTTCATCTGCAATGGAGATACAGACATGCACCATATATTCAGTATCACTGTCACTTTTGGGGGAAGGGGAAGTATTGCAGGATAGAAATGTGCCCAAGGCCAATTTCAAATGAGAGAAAACAAAACCTGTAGTCTAAAAACCAAACAGACTCAAATTTCATTGCCTGAAATGGAAACTCAAATGAAGTAAAGAAAAATCCTGTTGTCTATGGAAATGTATTTTGAATTTTCAGGTTTTTCCAGAAATTTCTTCACATCAAGTGCATGATATGCAGGCAACCTGAGAGGCAGCCTCTTCTGCTTTGCTGTCTACCACAGCACAGAATAAACCCAGAGGCAGGTTGGGACCTCCAACAACCAATTACGTTGATCAAAGCTTCAGTCAGCCGGGCATTTGGAAGGACAATAGTGAAAAGGCATTTTTTCTAAGCATTCCTCATCCAAAGCAAAATGTGGTTCTGCAATCTGGCTGCCTGTTACCTCAGGACCCGGGTCTTCTCCACTGATACTTCAGGAGGGCTAACTGGAGAACATGCTCGGGATTTAACTCTTTCCTTCCCCTTCAAGCCAAACTATGGGTGACCCCCAGTTCCTACAGTATGAGCCATCACACTGGGACATGGTGGACTCTCAGCCATAGGCCTGCCATCTGTAGGCTCCCTGGCAAAATACCAGCACAAGTGCGAATTTGGAACCAATGGTTTTCTCCACCAGTCTGAGTAGCCCAAAGAATAATATGGGTTGGAAATAGAACTCAGAGTCTAAGAATGCTGGTAGGTGGGATTTGGTTCAGYAGTAAATAAGACAAGGCTGGTTGTCGCTTCCCTACTTAAGACTCACTTTCTGAAAGCCAAACAGCAAGAGCGCTGCTGCTGATAAGTAAAAATAGATTTAAATAACGCAGTCATCTATATATGGTTCCACTTCCTTTCCCATTAAAAGGAAATAGCCCCACACTCGCAGTAAAATTAAGAATGAATAATTAAGCACACTAAGTAAGAATGTACTAAATAAGTAAAAATAGAATACCAAAGATGACATTAAAAAATCACAACTATATTTTACTCACACACATAATGCAATATATTACAAAAATAACGCACAGTGGGGCTGGGATTGTGGCTCAGTGGCACAGTGCTTGCTTTGCACATGTGAGGCACTGGGTTTGATCCTCAGCATCACATAAAAATCAAATAAAAAAAAGGTATTGTGTCCATCTACAACTAAACATTTTTTTTTTAAATAATACATGGGATCATGAATTACTGGAACCGTTTTCTTTTATGGGAAACAGAAATGACAGATAATGAAGCCGATCTGACTTGAGACATACTGAAGCACGAGTTCCCCGGTGCTTCAGTCCTGGCCTCACGCTGAAGCACTTGTGAGTCCTGCACTAAGTGGCCACATCAGCTAACTTAACTCTAGCTCCCCTTAAGACCAGGGAAAGAGGAAAAGGAATAGTTACATTTGCATGTTTAAACATGTCATGTGTATTCCAATCTGATAAGTCTCTTATCAAACATTCTGTGTGATTAATACAATCCATTAGGTTTACACGGATGTGGGATGATATGCTTTTATGTATCCTATATGCCTGTCTTAGGCTTCGTAATTTCAGAAAATTCAGCTTCTAAATCCCTCCATCTAAATAGTATGACTTCTGGATCCTTTATTGATAAATCTGAAAACCTCACGATGCTACATTATCTCTTAATAGTTTGTAATAAGAAGTCTAGATGGAATGAAATTCTCACCAGGCCACTTAGTAACTGGCTAGTTTCCTCATTAAGTTGCAAAAGCACGGGGCACTGGAGAGAGCCCGCCAAGGGAGCAGACAAATTCCTACATCAACATTCACAACTGTTTTTCAGAGTTTAAGTTAATGAGAAAATGGCAAAAATAAACTTGAAGTGTTTGGTTCGTATCAGTGTTAAAATTACTTAAGATAATGTACACTGCAAGCTGGGCATGGTGGTGCACAGCTGTAATCCCAGCAACTCAGAAGCCTGGGGCGGGAGGACCACAAGTTCAAGGCCAGCTGAGGCAGTTTAGTGAGACCTGTTTAAAATATATATGCTTCCAATGAACAAAAGAAGACATTCAGTCCTATTTAGCTTCCTTACAAAGTCAAGAAAAAAATACATTAAGTCACTGAGTTTTGAACTTTAGGGGCCACAAATCACAGAGAAACATTTCACATTTCAAAGCTTCTCCAAACAATATTTGCCCTCACAGCCTGTATAGAACACCGGTGCTTTTTATTTTATCCTATTCTCTTCTACTCAGTTGTTTTCCTTTCTTCCTCCCCTTCCCATCCCTCTATTTCCTTCCCTCTTCCTTCTCTTTTTTATTAAGAAAATACTGATTGCATCACAACCCCCTGATGGATCTTAGCCTGCAGTTTGAAAACACTGGACTAAATAGTAATTTTCAGTTAACAAAGATGAATACAAAGGATATTTTTTTAAGTTGGGCCTAATTGTGCTAAGGGGATGGACCAATTCCCAGTGTATTTGGTGGCAAAGTGCTTGGCTAGCATGAGCAACACCCTGAGTTTGATCCCTAGCACCAAACAAAAACCAGATTCCCACGTTATAGACTGTATTACAAAATCGGGCTTTTGTGGGCTTTTATTACTTCTTCCTTTGCTTAAGGAAAAAAAAATCCTATTTTAATGAAGAGATGAAGTCTGAACTGGAGCTTGGTCTTTCTCACAGCTGTAAGCCCTCAAGGACCACTCCTCTCTCCCCACCCCGGGTCTCATCAGCAGATGCCCCCTTCCTGGTCATACACATATACATGAGTCTATATAAAAAGATGAAGTCTATATAAATGAAGATGAAATTTTCAGCCATAAAGAAGAAAGAAATTATGGCGTTTTTCAGTAAATAGATGGAACTAAAGACCATCCTGTTAAGTGAAATAAGCCAATCTCAAAAAGCCAAAACCCGAATGTTGTCTCTGATATGCGAACGCTGACTTACCATAGCCAGGGGTACTCACTGGATTGGGCAGGGGGAATGGGAAGGGAGCGGGAATGGTAACTGAAAAGACAGTAGAATGAATCGGACACAACTTTCCTATGTTCATATATATACACCACCAGCATAACTCCACATCATGTACAATCCAAGAATGGGAAGTTAGACTCCACATGTGTGTATGTCAAAATACATTCTACTGTCATGTATAACTAAAAACATTTTTTTAAAAAGATGGAGTTTTGCTCTGTTTTAATAACATAGTTGGGTAGAGTCCAGTATATGCTATTCCCTAAATAGGACACATTGGCACTTGAGCAAACAGCAGAAGCAGTAATGTCACCTGGCAGGAGTCTAAGGAGGTCCTTGTAGAGGGGCAGTGGAACCTCAACTTGGCCTAGGCAGGTTCTTGACTTAAGCCTCTGAAAAAGAACTTCAGTGATGCTTTGAAAGCAAGTGCAACATAAGATTTATTAAAGACAGTGCCACGGAGTTGAAGTTTCCAAGGAGGACTCGCCTGAGGTACTGAGAGCACACAAGAGAGGCTTTCTGAACGAACTACTACATTCCCCACATCAACTCAGTTTGGTAAATCTCCTGGCCCTGCGGCTCGAGCTCACTTCCCCTTAGAAACACCAACATAATGTCATCTGAAACGTCATCAGCATTTATTGAGTCTTCTAATGTTGAAAGGAAGCAAGACTTAACTGAAGATCAGGAAAAAGAGAAACCAAGAATAGATGAAGGGATTGAACCAGTATCTAAACGACAAATGAAGAAGCTAATAAAACAGAAACAATGGGAAGAACAACGAGAACTTCGCAAACAAAAGTGGAAAGAAAAACGCAAGAGAAATTAGAGCGACAGTGTCAACTGGAATCAAACTCAGATGGAAATGACAGAAAACGTGTTTGAAGACATGTTGTTCACAGTACACTCCGCCTTATCATTGACTGTAGTTTTGATGATTTGATGGTATTAAAGGACATTAAGAAACTTCATAAGCAGATCCAACGATGCTATGCAGAAAACCGACGAGCACTGCATCCTGTGCAGTTTTACTTGACAAGCCATGGAGGCCAACTAAAAAAGAACATGGATGAAAATGACAAAGGATGGGTCAACTGGAAGGATATCCACATCAAACCAGAGCACTATAGTGAACTCATAAAAAAAGAAGACCTGATTTATCTTACATCAGATTCACCTAATATTCTAAAGGAATTAGATGAATCAAAGGCATATGTGATTGGAGGATTAGTGGATCATAATCATCATAAGGGATTCACATATAAACAAGCATCAGATTTTGGAATTCATCATGCACAGCTCCCCCTTGGAAGTTTTGTGAAGATGAATAGCAAGAGGCATTTTTCACTATCTTACCCCAAAGGAAAGGAGCTGTTCCCACAGACAAAGCCTGTGAAAGTTCTTCCCAGGACAAGCAGTGTGCCATGGTTGAAGATGGATCAGACAGTGATTCCAGTGAAGAAGAATATAGCAAAAATGAAACAGAGTCACCACATAAAGATGAACAACAGGATAAGGAAAATAGCACTGAATCTACAATGCAATCTGCACCACACTAACATTACCTGTTTTTCTTTTAGTAAGGAAAAATTAGGAGAAAGTGAGGTGCTTCAAAAAATATTCAAATTGGAAAAAAAWTTATTTTCTCATTTATTTTGTGAATTTTAAAAACTCTTTAGAGCTAAATGGTGATGAAAAACCCTTTAAACTCTGTAAGAATTTTTGTTTWTGAATAAGACAACTTTGTGTTGCTTCTTAAATTACTTTTTAAGCCTCAAATAAGAGTTTTAGAGAATTTTACTTTATTAGTATACCCTATTTCTCTTTTCTTTGTTGGAATATATTCTTCAGAATGTGCCTTCTGACCTATCAGTTCATATCAATGACCTTTATGTTTGTTTGTATCAGTGTCTTTCTAATCTGTCGTGTATGTATTTTGGGGGCAGATATTCATAAATGCTCTGTAATTCTATTAAAATGTTATATATGAGAGCTTAAAAAAAAAAAGACAGTGCCACAGTGTAAAGGTATACCCATCCCAAAGCAGGGTGCAGACATCCCTCACCTCAGGGAAGAGAAGTGACACGGGGCTCAGCGCTCTGGCTACATGTGATTTTCCTGGGAAGAAAAGTGCAGGTTCCCAGGCAAGCTTTTGTGAAATCAAATCCAATGTCAATTATTCGCTATTTGGGAATCAGAATGTTTCTTCTTGGTTAAACAGTTCAGCCATAAATCAGTTGTGGGCACGTTGAATAGGTCTTTTTTGAATCTGGTACTATTTAAATTGATCATGTTTCTCTTCTAGTTGATCTGGTACAAGCGTATGCTGGAGGTTTTGTTCATCTAACTAAAGGGACAACTGTATGGAGCTGGCCATTCAGATGCGGGGCTCCTTCTAGTAAGGGGCTCCTTTTCCCTCTCCCCTAGAGCCCACTTGTCTCAGTCAGGTCCCTCTTAGCCTCCTCCACCCTTCTTCCCTGAAGCAGGTCCTAATTCTGTCCTCACTTTGAAGAAGGTCTCAAGACCCTGATGGGAGAGTTGCCTTCTCTGAACCCAGAGGGAAAAAAAACATCCTTATCCCTGGACAGGGAGAGGAATCCAGTCAAATGGGCCTTGCTCAAGTCTCCTCCAGGTACTACCAAACTGTTGGGCCATACAATTATATTTCTTTGCGGCTGCTCACTCTTTAGCAACAGCGTAAAAAGACACAAGCTTATTTATTATGCGTCTCTGTTCATTTTTCTATTTATCAGCTTGGTGTCTCCCAGTTCCTTTTTTTGTTGTTGTTTTTAAATAGAACTGAGGTGTTTTTTTTTTTTTAATACACATAAAAGGGATTAAAAAACTGGAAATAAAAGAATATTACAGAAGCTAACAAGGTGCTAGAGGCCTGTATGCAGAAAGGCAGGCATGAGATGGTAAGATAGAAGCAGATCATTCATATGAAGGGCGGAGGCAGCCGGCTGAGGAAGACAGATTTCCAGGAATGAGGACAGAGGCCTACAGGAGTCTCGGATGTTTGGAGATGGGGGTGTTTAGCACCTGGCAAGGAGTCTAGCACCCAGTGGACCCCCAGGACTAACAAGCAAAATGCTTCCAACTAAATCCCAGTCAGACCATTCAGCAGAGGTGTGACCTTAGCAAGCCAACTAACTGCTGTGGTCTTGGTTTCTCCATCTATGAAGAAGAGGAGATCTTGTGTAGAGAGCGAATGGGCAGGGGCTTGAGCAGTGAGTGACCTTGGGAAAGGGGGAGAAGACCTGAAACACTTTCTGGGGGGAATGGGAGACAGTTGAACAGAGACCAGTAAAATGAACATGTATGACACACAGCAGCCAGGACGTAAAGCTAGAGGATTGCAAAACTAAAATAACGCCATGGCTGTGAACTGAGGTTGCAATTCTTTTCTTTGATTTAGCTTCTGTATACACCAAACAACAAATAATCCCCAACCCAGGGCTGGGCTGTGTGGTCACTGGGAAAGCAAGAGATGCCTGTGATCGTTCATCTTATGTGTCCACTTGACTGAGCCTTCAAATTGGGACTTTGGCTCTTCCAAGTTCTACATCAGCTTCTGGCCTTCAGACTCAGGAAGACTGCATGACCCAATTCCTTGTTCATATATATAATATATGTTGCATATATATTACATAATAAACATTATATACATGTATAAATACACAGGTGCATATTTACACACACACACACACACACACACACACACACACACACACATACACACACACATTCCATTTCCCTGGAGAACTCTGATATACTACCTCACTGCACAATTTTATCAATATTTCCCTCAACTTCAGAAAATATTTGAAATAACTGCTTAGCTGCATGAAGTGTCAGGCAAGCGGGTCTTATTTTTTATTTTATTGTTTTACTTCAATCCTAATAAGAAAATTTCACTGCAAAGGGATCCCAAAATGAAGTAAGCAAAAAGCAAGAATAAACAGAATGACCAAGGTGAAAAAGTCAAAAGGGAACCAGAAGGTTCAAGATTCTGACCAAACAAAATTAAGTAGCAAAGAATGTGGTGGAGACAGAAAAAGGCTAGAAAAATTAATAAATAATGACATTCAAAAATAAAAAAAGGAGCCTAATAGATACTACTGTCCCCTTAGTTCCAACGTGGGGATTCATGAGTTTTGGAAGCCGACAGGAACCACAGTATGTACCAGATGGTGGCTGAAGAGTTAAATTGCCTGGGCAGGAGCTGGGGCTGGAGTCTGGCTGTGGAGATAAGAGCCTTCCAAAATATTTATTTTAAGAAAAGGAACTCTGAACGGGAGGGCAAGGAGCCAATTAAAATCTGGATAGTTCCAACTATGGAAAATTTTACATTTCCTTTCAACATAAGTGCCTAATGATACCCGCCCTGATTCCAGAAGGTAGGCTAACATTTTCAAGCAATCACTTCAACACTCCAGGGGTCACGTCTCCCCAAAGACTGCATTCCCACCCCCACCCACCGCCCCCAAGAATGGGAGGGATGCAATAAAGCTGGCCCAAACAAATGCCTTAAGTGGCCTAAGATCTTGGCAGAGGCAAGAGAGAAGACAAACAGCAATGTACAAGATACTTGCACTTCTGCTGACCAGAGGTCATCGCCTCCTGTCTCCCACCACAAGGCTGTAACAGTCTGAAGAAAAAGACATCCTTTCCCACTAAGGAAAGTGGAAGGAAAGAATGGAGACAGTGGAAAACTGGAAAGGAAATGAGTGTCCCTGACCCGCCCCAAAAGACTCATCGTCTTTTGTTGGCTATTAGCAAAAAGACTATTAGCAAAAAGACTACTGTGTGACTCGTAGGGATCTACAGAGTCAGATATGTGCCAACTATTATTTAAAATACCTAATAATTTTATAAACAGGCGACAATTATGTTTTTAAAGAAATCAGAGCAGCTACCAAAGAATTTTAGTAATAAAGCTTACAAATTGCTAAATTCTGCCTGGATCTTCATGGGTATTTGTAGGATAGCATTAAATATGTTTATATAACACTCTTAAAAGGGAGAAGAAGGTGCCCTTGCCTAGCATTTGTGAAGCCCTGCAAGAGAAAAAAAAATGGTGGGGAAGACTTTCAAGTACAGAATCCTGTACACTTCCTGGTATAGACTAGACTCAGTGAATTTAGTCACTGGAGCCAGCCAGAGAGTGGCCATGTGAGTTTCAGGGGCGAGATCCCAGTGGCAGGGCTGTTCAATGGGGTTCACATCACAGCTCTGTGTGCCCCAGATGCTGGACATGGAGCTATAGAAATAATATTTGCCCAGCTGGGTTTCGGTTTCGGTCTGTCTTGCGTCTGATTCCTCCTTGGTATTTTGTTTACTCTGTGCCATTGTATGTTAGAAGTGTTTACCTTTCTCTCTGAATTTTTAGAGGGCTCACAGCTGAATTTGCCTTGCGTCTTGGAGACTTGGACTGGGACTTTTTAGCCATGCTGAACAGTTAAGACTTTGGGGACTCTTGGAGATGAACTGCTTGCATTTTGCATGTGAGATACACAAAAGCCTTTGGGGCTAGGGTGGAAAGTCAGGGTTCAGATCTTAAATAGCCTCCAAAGTCCCATGTTTCATGGCTTATGGCTTGGTGCTCACCCAGTGGCACTACTGGGAGGTGGAGGAATCTTTAGGGGGTGAGGCCTATGGGAAAAAGTTAGGTCACTGGGGATGTACCCTTGAAGGAGATATTGGGACCCTGGCCCCTCTCTTCTCTTTTCTTCYCTGTGGCTGGAGGTAAACCGCTTCCACCATGCACCCCTATGACGTTCTGCCTCACCACAGGCCCCCAAACAGAAACAACAAAGAACCCAAACCTCTGAAACCATAAGCCAAAACAAATCTTCCTCTTAAGAAAATCGATTTTCTCAGTTGTTCTGTCATAGCCATGGAAACCTAACATAGGTAGGTCTCACCTTGTTCAGTAGGTGTTTATTGCCTGTTATCCACAAGTACATAAGTTCCAGGTGCGTAGGGTCCTTTCTGTCATTTAAACATCCAGGTATTCAGCAGCTGTTCAACCTTTGCTGAGTGGCTGAGGATTCTGCCATCAGTAAACGGTTGTTGTGTGAATGAATGATCTAAGGGCACTTTTACCTAAGCAAACTGTGACTGGCACCTACTAAACCAAGAAGGATATCATCAGACCAGTAAGAGTTTGACAATTTATCCTCAGCCAGCTGTCCTCTGTTCAGGGACTGCTGGGGATGAATGGTGACTGTTGATGTGATAGCCACTGAGTGAGCTCTCCTGGGACAGATCTGTAACAGTCACAGAAGTGGAGGGGGCTCTGCAGATCGCCACAGCGAGTCAGAGGACAAGTGAAGCAAGTGCAAACAAAAAGACAGACTGATGGGGTAGCTGCCGAGTGAGACTCTAAAGTCCACAGCTCCCTGTCTTTCATAAAAGGGAATTCATATTAATTTTTAAAAAGCACACAAAACATTAAAGAAGAGAATTTCAGATAATCCCTGATAGGTTTAATTGGGAAATAATTCACATACTATAAAACTGACCCTTTTAAAGTGTCTCCATCACTGCTACCTAACTTCCCATCTTTATTGCTCCCCTAAGAAACCCAGCTACAAACCCCTCCCCGGTACCTGTCAACCACTCATGTTTCTGAATCTATGGATGT